TCCTCACTTTATAGCGTGGCTCCTTCTCAGAAGAGAAATGTGTAGTAGTTACCCTAATGTGGAATGTAAGGAACCAGGGTGCATTTAAATAATTGCCTCTTATTGAGGGTGGACACCTTATTCTCACACACACACACACACACACACACACACTGCATTTTTGCTTTCGACTTTGGAGAACACTGTCAGTTGCTGTTCCTGAGGTACTTCCTCCTCAGTTACCGAAGAGGTGGCAGCTACAGCCTTCTCCTCTCAAGTGAGCTGCTTTGCCTTGATCTGGCTTTGGAGCAGCTGAGGGTCAGTTAAAGACCGTTTGAACTCCAGGGTAAGCTTTTCTTTCTGAGGAAGCCTGTTTGGATCAGTTTGGAGAGTCCGCCGAGGGTAACTGTGAGGACAGCCGAGGCCTTGTTCAGGCCACTGTGCTGTCCTAGGGACTGAACCCCACCTTCAGAATTTTTAGACTTCTTGGCAACAGATAAATATAGAAGCACTAGCAATGTGCTTTTCTGGGTCCCCGGCGTGGAAGTGCTAAGCTCCTGTCAGCTCGCTTTCACAGGTCAGGCCCCTGCGGCTCTTCCGGGGCCTGTCAAGCTAGGGTGTGGGTGAGACCTGCCAGGGTCTCCCAGGATAAGAGCTGGGGAAGCAGGAAGCTCGGCGAAGTGGAGATAGTCAGAACTAGAGGACAGCTAAAAGGCTCCAGAGGCAGACAGGGCTCTTGAGAACGAGAAATGGCCACACCCATGTTTTTTTCCAGACTGTCATTGTAAGACCAGCTGGTACCCTCCTTTGGGATCTTGGCCAAGAGAGGCCACAGTCAATTGCCTCTCTTCTGGAAATATTACACAGTGGGTATGTTTGTTCCAGCTCTGTCTTTGAGGTAGGAAGAGACCTATATGGAGGCCAATCAGTAGTCATGAGTGAGGCAAGACAAGCCCAGGGAAGGTTCCAGTACGGGAGAGAAGCAATGTGATAGATTTAGAAGTCGTCTTGAGATTGGAGGAGTAGGCCTGGGTTCTTAGGTCTATACTCTTGGCAGGGTACATGCTGAGGCTTTCCAAGAGAAGGAGGGAGGGAGGGGGAGAGTTAGGGAGGGAGGGAAGGATGGCTAGAGCGGAGACCAGGTTTGGGAGGAGAGACTAAGTGTGGCAGGCATATCCAGTGAAGTGGTAAATTAAAGGTTGGATGGTGGATCTGAAGGGGAAGACTCAGAAGTCATCCATCCACATGTCCATGAGTGGTACCCGTAGATGTTACTTTTCCAGTCTTATCTCAGAAACAATCACAGACTGATACCTCGATGCAAGTCCCAAGGGGACTCTACCGGATGGAGTACTGCAGCCTCAGGGCCAGGCTGCAGCGGTCAGTTCACGGGATACCACAGTCGGGGCAGTCTATGTCTGTTAAGTTCTGAAGTTCCTACACTCAAGAATAATCCAGAAGTAGGAATGCAACTTGAATGCATTAAAGGTGAATTTGTAATTAAAGAGAAAATTCCACCTAACATTTCTAAAAGCCGACAGAGGTCACAGAATCCAGACAGATCATTTGTACATAGAACCCTTTAACAATACCTTTCAGGCTGGAGAGATGGCTCAGCCACTAAAGGCCTGGCTCACAACCAAAAATATAGCAATACTTTTCTCCTACATTCATTGACTCTGATCACATCTACATGTTACACTGCGCCCTCCTCTCTCCCTCCCCCTCCCTTCCTGTGTGCATGCACAGGAGTGTGCAGGACTCATGCCCCACGCATGAACATGCAGAGGCTAGAGCGTGACGCCGGGTTTCCTCTTCTACCGCTCTCTGTGTTATTACCTTGACACAGCCTCACTCCACTGGAGTGAGCTCACCGCACCAGGCTGGCCATCCAGCAAGCACCTGGGATCCACCTGCCTCTGACCCTTCCATGACTGGCTTTTTATGTGAGAGTTTGAGTCCAGGTCCTCATGATTGCTCAGGAAGCACCCACCCACTTAGACAGATCTCCAGCCCTTTTTAAAGGAATAAGCCAGTCTTTTATAATAGGTAGCCAAGAGTTTTTATTTTTCTTTTGTCACTGATTGTTTAAAAACCTGTACTTTTACCTTCATTATGGGTGATTTTTTTTTAGAATTGTCAAATTTTGGGGAACCCTTTCACCTTTTCACTGATGCGCTATGGAATTTGGAAGACTTTCTCACAGATTAGCCTCTGCCTCCTTGCGTCTGTTTCTCCTCCACTCCACCTGCTTCCGAAGCTGAGTCTGGAGGACACAGGTGACATGAGCTCTGGCACCGTGCCCGTGTGTCATGACGCATTTGGCAGCTGGAGCTCTGGATGTCAGCGGTGCACTGGGAGGGCTGGGGGCATTAACTCTATTTGGAAGTGACCCTCTGCCAGCAAACCCAGCTGACTGTGTCCTCAGCTCAGTTTTCCTTCCCTGTAGGCCCCAGAACTGCTCGCCTGACTCAGTAGCTGTAGAAGGGGCCAGCAGTCTTAACTGACTGTAGTTAAGTCTTACCTCTATCTAGTGTGAGCACATTGCTCCGTGACTGCTGAGGCTTTGGAAGGACCCTTTGCAAGACAGAGTTACCTGAAGTTCAAGTTTCCTGTCTCCACTACAATCTCAGCTCATCAGACCACAGAACAGTTTCCAGAGTTCTGGAAGTGCCAAAACTTGGTGTGTACAATGGATTTTAACTCCTTGGGACCCGAGGTCTTAGACGTGCAAGGCAGACTTTTTTCCTGTTTTCACTTGAACATGTCTCTGATGACCCAAGGCCGTGGTGTGAGTATTCCCTCAGTGCTGTGAGGTCAGGGAGTAATTCACCAGACGCTGACCCTGATACTAAGTGGCCCCACATTGTAGTCCTAAGTCTCGATGCCTGTTTACTGTTTATTCGTGAAGTTTTAATCTCCTCTAATACTGGTAACTCTCATTTCTTGCTTGTTTAGAGCAAGCTGTGGCCTAAGAAACAAAACCAGCCAGCTTTCTTCCTGTTACCAGTACACTCTTCTGAGTAGCTCATAGGTGTAGAGTGAGGGTCTAGGAGCTGTGCCAACAGAAATAATCCTTGCTCCAAATCAGGGACTCTAGGCTCATCACATGCATCCACTCATGACGCTTGCAGTGACCTGTGGGGTGGACACTGGTGTTATAATCTCCATTCTGCAGGTGAGAAGGCCAAGGAAGAGAAGTTAAATAACTTGCCCAAGGTCAGGAGATGGCAGGCAAAGGTTCTGTTATAAGCCGGCTCCAAAGCCAGCTTTCCTACAGTGCTCCGTGTTTGATTTTTGGTGTGTATTATTTCATAATATCTTCAAAGGAAGTGTAAGCAGAACTCTGTTTAACAATGAGGAAGTCAAGGCTCAGAGAGATGCCTGCCTGAGAGCTGATTCTAAGACCGATCTTCTTAATTCCCATGTTGAGTCTTAGAGACTCATCCAATTGTGGGACCAGGTTAGACCCCTCAATGGCAACAGAGCACAGGCTGTGTCCCCAAGATGGTTGTGGGAAGAGGGAACTGGTGTGAGATGAGCAGAGCTCCCCCAAGAAAGTTGTGGTCAGTGTCATGGCGTTCCTGTTGACTGCCCACTCTTTCTTCATTTCCTGACCGGTTGCTGTTTCTAGACAAAGGTTACTCAAGAGCTGGGTACTGGGATGTGATGTTCTGTAATGGTGACCAAGGCCATGCACAGCAGGAGATTGGAAAGGACTGTGGAGAAGTAGGAATCTAATTGAGACCACTGACTGATCATTTCTCAGTTCTGACTTATTAATCTTTTTAAAAACTGACCTAGTCCTTGGTGACTTGGGTTTATGACCCAGTCATGTGTTGACCTCTCCAAGCCCCGTGAACTGTGGGTGTTCAGATAGTGAGTAACTACCGTGTCAGAGGGAGGCCTAGCAATAGAACAGACACCCAGGAGACTCCAGACAGCCTTCTGACCGAGTCTTAGAACACCATATTCTGAGGAATCCATCAGGAATTCACAAAGGGATAGTCTGCCTCACACTGCACAGCCCCACACAGTCTTCTCAAAAATTCCTCTGTCTTCCTCTTTCCTTTCCTTTTCTCTTTTGGAAGTCCCCTCCTGTGCTTCTAGCTGTCAATTGCCTACTGTGTGGCTGAAAAATGAAGTAACCAAGTATCAATTCAGTCCATAAACACTGTGACTACTAACTATATGTTGAATTCATCCGAACTCTCACTATAAAATTTTCTTTAAAAACCTCTTTGAAAATTTACAAAAAGTAACAAGCCCTTATATAAAGTAATCCCACGACTAAAGAACATGGCTCAGCCTTCAGCCTTCCTTTTCCTAAAGCAGAGATACCTTTATATGGTAAAAAGCAAGAACAGACGCCCGTAGCATCTTGAGTTCCCAAAGGCCACCTGTCAGATACACGCAGGGCTCTCTGTGCTTTGAGCATCAGCAGTCCGTGGAGTCTGCAGTGTTGTGTACCAGGACAGTAGTTTCAGGTCAGAGTTCTGACACCTTGGAAGTACTTCATTGCTGCATGAAACATCAGCTTCGTTGGCTGCAGTTTTTAGTCTGTGTGGTATAGTTGTGCTTTTCTTGTATATTAGTTGAGCCATCCTATTTCGCTGAGATTTTGCGGACTCAACATCATCACAAGTATTCTAATGGTTTGAGCTGATATTAGATAACTTTGCTCTGTTTCTCGGTCATTCCTTGTGAGAACTGGAAACGCTGCCTTTTGACTCAGGTGAGGCCACTTGCCTTCAGCTTGCATACAGCACAGCAAAAAGAAAGAAGACAAGTGTGGCCAAAAAAAAAAAAAAAAAAAAAAAAAAAAAAAAAAACGGTTTTCTTTTGTGTTTTTGGGACAGGGTCTTGTGTTTCCCAAGGCTGACCCAGACTCACCACCTCTTGCCTCAGCCGTCTGGTTACAGGTGCCAGCCCCCACTCCTGGCTGAGTCTGAATCTCTTCCAAAGAGTCAGGGAAGGGGGAGGAGTAAACTCTCCTTTTACTCTCGTATCCGTCTCTGCAGATTGAAACCATCCTGAATACACGGATCCATCAGCTCTTTTACCTCCTGTCTTCTTACTGCAAGTGTTTCTAGGCCTGGGCCACCGGTGGATGACCCTTACCAAGTGAGAGATTATTTTCTGCTCGAAAGACCAAACTTCAGTAAAAATTACATACACTGGATTTTCATTGGCCGGAGAAGAGTTCTTTGTGGTATTACTGCCACTCTGGGGATGGACCTGGAATGTTTCCAACTGTAAGAGCTTCCTGTTGGGAGCAGGACGGTGCAGTGTGGTTGTGTGTACATGTAGAAGCAAGACTGTCTGGTAAAGGCTTCCCCATCCACACGCTCGGGAAGACATTGCCAGAGATGTCATGTGGCCCATGCACCGCAGTCTCTTGGGCGTGCTGGTGTACGCAGTGTATGGAGACTGCGCTGAGTATTTTGATTTTCTGCCAGAGGACACAAGAGTTCTTATAACTCAAGTGTACCTGAGGGCCTCTCTTCTCCATCCTGAGCTGTGCATCCTGATAAGGAAGGCCGTTGTCTGACCTGTGACACACTCTCCTAAGCTGGCGCTGTTTCAGAAGCTTCTCTAACGGGACCTCACTCAAGTGCGAGATCTGATGTCAGCACGTAAGACAGAATTTGCACGTGGCCATAATCCCTGCTGAAATCCTCTTAAAGGCCCTGAGACCTGAGGCTGGCAGCTCGAGCAGATCCACGCTCCCTTCCTACCACTGGGGCTCTCTACCGTTGAGGGGCGTGGTGGCTGAAACCCCTGCACTGTGGCTCTGAGGCTTGGGTAGCATTTAAGAGCCCTCTGCAACTGGACTGCCTGGACTTGAATCCTGACTCCTCGTTGCCGCTTCTGTCCACAGACAGGTGCTGTGACCTCTCAGTGTCTGTGTTCTCAACGTGTGGCGGGAGAGTGACACATCTTGTGTCACAGTGATGTCCTCTGTAGCACGTGCTTGCACCTGGTCTCGTGTGAATGCACTGACGGTGGTGACACCTTTAATCCCAGCACTCGGGAGGCAGAAACGGGCCGATCCCAGTGAGTTCCAGGACAGCCAGGGCAACACAGAGAAACCCTGTCTTGAGAAACAAACAAGCAACAATCAGACAAGCAAGTAAGGTCATTTTAGATGTAGGGAAGCTGTTTCTGGCTTTAATATCAGAGTGTATTAAACAAAGGAAAGCATGCTTGATGGTTAATAAAAGTGGGATGGAGGTAGAAACGTTGTGAGCTCTGAGATGGGGTTGCCTAGCACAGCAGTTGATGGGTGCTGCTCCTGGGAAGTGCTTAGGCAGGAACTGACCCTTCTTTCTATGATTCTCTATCCTGACCAATGAGATGACCATAGCCGTCTGCCTTGGTCCCTTAAAAAGCATGAAGTGAAGAGATGCTAATGGTTCCAACTTAAGAGAGCACCCTTTGGCTTCCACTGGCGTCAACAGGAATGTAGAGAATGAAACACCCCAGTAATAAATCTACCAGGGCCCGGAAGTTGAGTTTGAGATGTCTTATCAGGGTCTGATCTTAACTCTGCCCTCCCAGAAAGGCACACACAGATGAGATACAGATATGACTGCTATTTAGGACCAGAACCCGAGATGCCTATATCATAAAACAGGAATTTTTTCCAGCTGTCTTCCTGACTGAAGCTTTGGGCATGTCACTAAAGTTTAAATAACTCCTCACAAGGGTAGAGGTCATGCCTCTAAGGATGTAGGATCCTTGCATCAGTTGGTCCAGGGGCATCATGCTTTGCCTGCTGCCCTGATGTATTTCCACAAACGCAGAATCACTCGAAGGCCCCAGGCTCAATGGCCAACTCAAACTGGCAGCAGAAACAGCAGGCCCAGGCCAACCCGCGGCTGTCTTTCTGCCTGTGATCTGAACCCTTCTGGCTTCTCAGCCTGGGCATGAGTGAGCCTTCCCAGGCCAGAGTCCTCCACAGCAGGAATTCCTGCTCTCAGGTTTCCTAAAGAAAGTATTCCTCGACGGCTCTGCACCTGCTGATCCTGGGATAGGCAGGCAAGAGTTTAATTTTAGGAAAGATGCCAGGGAGAAAATAAAATCCTGTCTCCATGTCATCTGAGAAGGCTTAAATAAGTCATAGGCCCTATTAAAAGCTATGTCTTTGAAGGGAATAAAAGGGTATGGAAAATATCTATACGCATGTATATACACATAGGTTATACACATACATATGTGTGCATACTGATGTGTATATAGTCTAATTTGGTAAAAACATGCTGGTGAATGTAATCCCATCAATTTGTTTAGCCTCATTGTTTATGCTGTCTTTGTTAGGAAAGAAATTTATACAGCCATTGATGAGATTTTTTGTTTGTTTTTTAATGTTAATATAGTCAAGTGACCACCCAGAAGATCCAGTTCTGATTCCCAAACCTTTATCTACAATCCCAGTTTCTGAAAACACAGTTTGTCCTCCCTCCCCTTCTGTTGATGTTGAGGGCATGTCATTTGAGTAGCTCTGTGGGCTAGGCAGAAGGAAGAGATCTGCATAGGAATGGAGGCTGCTCTCTGTCTCCGGGAGCAATGGTCACGTCAGAGCCTTTCGGGGTGTAAAGTCTGTTTCCAGTACCAGCTTTGGAGGCTGGAAGACCTGTGGGCCACAAAAATGCCCTGCAGCTGGACAGAAAAACTTGAGAGCACAAAAATACCAGACGGGCATTTCCAGCCTCTTCCTCCCTTCCTCCCATATTGGCAAAGGCACAGGGATTAAGTAAATTCTCCCACTGCTTGCTCCAATAAATCGGATGGATGGATATCTCAAGTTAACCCAAGGAGTTTATGATTCACACTTGTTAAAACAATCACACAGAAGGCAGAACAAAGGAAGGGAACCAAGAAGGAAGAAGTAGTTACCCCAAGTTAAAACCTCCTTAGGAATTTTTCTTCTTCCTTCTGTCTTTTTTATCTGGTGTCAGGGATCAAACCCAGACCTTGTTCATGTCAGGCACATGCTTTGGCACCGACTACAGCCCCAGCCCCCTAACCCTCCTCTCCCTGGTTGTCTGTATTGAGTATCAAGACTCTGAGCTCATACCCACCCCACCCCCAGTGTTTTTCCTTAAGCACAGAAGATGAAAAAGCTACAAGGAGATGTATGCATTCTGATTGTGCCCAATTACATTTGGCAAGCCCAAGACAAAAAAATTAATGAGACCAGATTATTCTTCTGTATGAGACGCAGTCTTGCTCAGCCTATTTTAGCTCTTGCCATGCGGTAGATTGTCAAACAAATTAATAGCACAGTAATGGGTGCCTTTCAGGCTTCTCGTTTGTATTAATGAATTCTACTTCATCTGATAACCAGTGATTTATAGCACTGGAACTCATGGCTTGGCTGTAAAAATTATCTTTTGTCACTCTTTCTGGGGTGGAACAGCCAGCCTAACAAGCTAAATGGTAGGGTTTTATAATTGAATTCTACAATATGAAGCGCCCGGTGTGAGAACATTTCATGCTGATCATGGCTTTGGAAATTGAAAGACCTTCAGTACGTCTCCCACTACCCAAGGCTGAATGCAGTCTGATTTGGGTTTTCACGACTTGTGGAGGAAGAGTGTGACATGATTCTTAATGGAGGGTATTCATGCTGAGCTAGCGTGGCAGCTAGATTCCGCAGGCTGGGAAATGGCTCCTCTCAAAGAAACCAGGGTATTTTAAGAAGCGTAAGAGACGCTGTCCTTACCTTGAGGCATGCTTGCGCTTCTCCCACCCCGTCGTGTGTAGAAGGCAGAGAGCTCTGGTCACGAGTCAGCTACCATGCTATCTGCTTTTTTCTTGTCTTGCTCGTTCTTCCTGGTGACTCTACAAAGTCATTCCATTGTACAGATACAAAACTGGAGCACTGGAGGGTGCGTGTGATTGCCATTCTCAAAGTCAGGATGCACTACGGACACCTCAGGGTGTCTCCCAGGTCCCTTACCTCTCCAGGGTTTGTAGCTTTCTTCTTTCAAGTGCTAGATAAGGCAGAATGGGAGCCCCAGATGAGCAAACTGCAAATGCCTGCTGATATCAGGGTTCTAAGTATAATTCTCATCAGTTTGAAGCTAGAAAAAGAAAAGCTAGTTACCTCATGACAAGGTCCGAAGTCCCTTAAAAGGTATCATTCAGAGTTCCTTTGCTGAGTTGAAATGTTCATTGGGAGGGTAGGGTGGCCTGACATGTGAAGCAGCAATGGTCTGAGCTGGCCTGCAAAGCCTACGGTCTCTTTTGGCTAAGCTAACAACTGCCTGCATTGTTTTCCATGAGGAGTAAGCATACTGCAGGAATTCTGGAACACTCCTTCAAAACAAGGCAATCTGATACCCTTGGAGATCTTGGCTTGAACATCAGAGAAAATGTCTTGTTTAAATGATTATCTTTTTTTAAAAAAAAAAAAAAAACATCAATTTAGGTTCATTTTCTATGGTCCATGACCACCATGCATAGCTGTATCCCAGAAACCATTCGAAGACAGCATATTTTTCATAAGCAACAGTCTGGAAATTTAATTGTTATGCTATTCCGACCTCCAGTCCAAACCTCTGCCCAATCCATCCTTTTTAAACCTACTTTGACTTTGGTTCTTTCAGTTCCTCCTATTTTATAGTCACCAGCCATTCCAGAAAAACATCTGTTAGAAAGCTCCATCCCCTGTAGTGGGAATTAAGTACATATTTTAACTTCAGACAATCTTGCTTAATGTTTTCTACATTGCATGAAGCAGAGGATTAATGCAGACGTCCCTGAAAAGCTCCTATGAAACCTTAAGCTGTGTCTTCAATCACTCAAATATTCAGGAGCCAGAATTTGAAAGAGGCCGAGGAAGTACCGAGGATAAAATTAAAACAGAGATCTTTATTAATTTAAGCAACCATGCAGGCCTGGTTGTACATAGGAAGGACTAACCTCATTTGCTTTGCTTTTTTCCAAGCCTGACAGTGCCCACCCCCCCCCCCCCCCCCCGTTTATCTTCTCTCAAAAACAAATGACTTTTTAAAGGTAATTGGTTTAGAAGAACAGAAAAGAAATGATTCCCCAACCCATTTTCTTTCTGTAATCCCTTATGCTAATTTAAAGGTAGAAATTCAGGCCTGAGTTTCTGTCGGGGATCAGCCTCGACAAAAATACCACTTGTCAGGGTAGGGGATTAGAAATATAAGTAAAGAATATGAAGGCACATTTTAAAATAATAGATCAGAAACCATAGAATAGTACTGGGAGGGAGTTTTTGTGATTATTGAAATCGCCTGTGTTTAATTTTCCATATGCCTTTATACCCAAATATAAAAGGGGGAAGAAGGCAACAAAAGACTCCTTTAACATGATACAAAGGACAACTGGAACCGTTGTTTTAACACTTGAGACATCAGGTCATTAGCATTTCGTTGTTTAGGCAGTGAAGCTACCCTAGACCAAGTATCCTGAAGGCAGGATACCACTCCCCAGGTAACTTCATGTTACAAAAGAAGGGGCAGAAGTATGCTTGCATATCTTGACCATCTGTCAGGTTAGAATGGATCTTCTTGTATGAACCATCTTAATGTCAAGAACCAAGTAACCACATCCTGATTCAGGATGTCTAGCCACACTTGTCAACAATTTGGAACAACCTCCAAACTCTCTGACCATCAGACAAGGTGAAAATAGGCTCACGTTTTGGGGCCTCCACAAGTTTTTATGCCGAGTGTTCTACGAGTGACTGGGTTTGGGTAGTGGTTTGTAATGATTTGTGGATATACACTTTGTGCTATATTTTGGAATAGCTAAAACCAATGGTCCTGGGTTCTGATTCCTCTTTATACACATTATGTGTAAAGTTGGGCCATTTATTTAGCCTGGGTGTCTTAGCTTGTTGGTACTGCTGTAATAGAATACCTGAGATTGGCTAATATATGAGGAACAGAGATTAACTTTTCATATTAGGAGACTGAGAAGTTCGAGATTAAGGTGCCACAGATTTGGTTGTCTTCATAGGGCAACTCCACTGCCTAAACAACAGAATGCTAATGATTTGATGTCTCAGAGTATTAAAGTGATTGACTGTATAAAAGTGTATGGAAAAATAAAGGAAGGAAGGAAGGAAGGAAGGAAGGAAGGAAGGAAGGAAGG